TTTTGGGGAGATCATTCCATTCCAATCCCCCATCAAACACCAATTTTCATATCAAAAACCTATTAATCTGTCCATCAATCATTTATAAAATGTCACTTTATCCTCATTTGGGGCATAGATTCCCAATACCATAGTCTTAACCCCATGCAAGTCAACTTCCACCCCAACAAATCTATGTTCATCAGTCAATACAAGTTCTGGTTTTAGTTGGGGATAAATAACTAACCCCTTTGTCTGTTTTAAACTTTCTTAAACCATCAACTTGCTACGCTTTTTGCCAATTATTTTTTAATCTTTAAGTCTTTAAATCTTCTTTTAGTTTTGTAGTACAGAAAAAATGAAACTCACCAAGAGGGATCTTAGCCTGCTGCAAAAGAAAATCTCTCTTAATCTGTAGAATAATTAACTCCAAAAGTGAACAGGAAATGAGGTTTGGCTGGGCTTAATGTCTATGTAGGCTACATTGCACCTGTGAGTGTAGATGAAATCCTGTGCCTCTCACCTGCTCTACTCGTGAGCAAACTGAAAAAAAACTTCCATTCCTGCAGTTTACTCAGGAGGAGCAGCTGTCCAGAGAACAAGTGGGTTATCTCACAATCCCTCCTTTATTGGAGACATTTCATCATTGGCCTTCTGGGCACCAGTCTCCGCTGCAATGCTGTCTCCACTCCTTTGAAGATGACTAGTCCACCATAGACCTCACCAGAAGCTTCACTCATAATCTGAACTGAAATGTCTTTGAAGGAAATTTGGCACTGACTTCAGAATCTACAAGCCAGGACTGGACATTTGTGGCAGACTGCATCAAAGAGTATGCAGGACTGGATACTGAAGATGCCTGCAGGAGAGGGCTTTTTCCACTTATCATTGGCATTTGCTCCCTTGCACACCTGTTAATCAAGCCTTTCAACTGGATAGTTTCCCCATGCTCTAATGCAGATTACCTGTGATGGACTGGAATGGAGGAAGGGGGGTGAAAATGGTGCTCTCGTCCCCCACCCAACACCCCGGGGGGCAGGAGGGGAAACAGGGGCGGCCCTCCAACATAACGCAACGCTCATGGGGGAGTTGTGTGGGGGTAATAGCTAG